CATATTGCCTTGTTTTGAGAAATAATATGCCAATATTAAGTGGGTTTTTCCTTAAAACAAGCAAAATAATCTGCCAATTGGGGTAAACAAAATAATCTTACGTCAAAAAAAAAAACTAGATTAATTAGCTTACCCCATTGGCAGATTATTTTGCTTGTTTTAAGGAAAAACTCACTTAATATTGGCATATTAATTCTTAAAACAAGGCAATATGTTTCGCTTGCCTAGAAAATGCTTCTTGATATAAGAAATTTTAGATATTTAGACTAGAAACAAGACAAAAAATCTAAGCAAGAAAAGCATTTTTTGCAGTGTACATCTTGTTCCATATATATGCCAGTGAGTTACAACACAGTTTACAATACTACAAAATGAAACTCTTTAGAATTAAATTACTTAGTGTGAACTTGTGTGAACTTAGTTTTGTTTATGGTAAAACAGTCAATGGAAACAGCCAGAAGATTATCCAACAAAGAGCTGAATTAACACAGAAAGCTCACAAAAAAAGAGATTTTCATTAAATAAAGATGAAATGTAAACATAAGATTTGAGTTTGGTACCAATCGGTACTGAAGTTAAAAATATGTCCATTTCCCACTAACATTGCGAGCACCGATTGCTGCACAGATATATGACTGATTGACCATGAAGGTCATTGTATCTGTTTGCACTTGGTGAACACTGGCGAAGAGTGGTTGGTTGGATGGTAGTGGGGTGTCACAGACTAAAGTGAAGAGAGTTGAGGAGTCGCAGACGAAAGTAAAAGTGAACAGCAGGAGGATGGTTGAGGAGGGGGATTGGTAAAATGAGGCGCCGGATCTGATTTCAACGGCACAAATTAAGTCCTGGGTAAAACAAAGACACTGGATCATTTCAAAGCCCTGTCGATCAGTCAATCCATCAGCAGACAGCTCATATGTCAGCTTATAGACAGATCAGCTGATCAATGTGGCATTTAAATGCTTCCGTGTCTGTGTAACTTTGTTTGGACTTGGTGAAGAGTGGCAAACCAATGACAGCCACAGCCAATCACAGTAATTTCTGTTAAGCATGTGAACACAATGGCCAATCAGCAGTGTTTAAGAACAAGCTTAGTAGTACTCAAATGTTGGCGGGAAATGGATGTTTTTAATATTTCAGAACTGACTGGTACCATACTCAATACTTGACAACACTAATGTGATATTTTCTGCAAGAAAATCTAAACTCCACAGTCTAACAAATCAGCTTTTAAGCTAAACATTTGTTCCTCTATGAGTGTATATACTATGCCATGTTTAAAGCTGTTGGTGCAATGGCATGTATAGTTACACTAACTCAAAGTATCTTTTTATTTTATTTTTAGAAAACTTGTATTTCAGGGTTGTGCGTTTTATAATTGAAAAGCATGTATAAACCGACTGCACGTGGTTTCTTCAGTTGGCATGACTTAAAATGGTGGATTAAAACAATGTTGAAACTACACTGTAAAAAATGCAGGGTTCCACACAATTCATTCATGTTGTCCTAGCACAAATTGATTAAGTTAACTTAACACTTTTAACAAATTTATGTGGATTAAACATTAAAAATATTAAGTTGTCCCAATGAAATCTCAAGACTTGTGTTGTGGCACATCATTTTAAATAAGTTTGAACGAGCAAAAAAAATTTTTTTTGAGTATATTAGCATTAAAGGTGTTAACTGAACATGGTATAACGATTAGTTAAATAGAGTTAATAAAGTAATCTTACTATAAAACCCTAAGTAAGGTTACTAAATATTAAAGCTTATGTTAACTAGAATTTCTATTAAACTAACATGATTTTTACCCATTAGTTTACTTTGGAAGTTTTAGATTTCTTACTTTAAGGCAATAATTAACTTAACTTCAGATTTCCCTGAAAGTTTGCATTGAAAAAATAAGGCAATCGGTTTCCATACTTTAACATGTTAGAATTTACATTGCAGGGAAAATTTACCCTCGTCAGAACAAAACTCCCTTCTGAAGACCGTTGACCGCTTCCTTTAACACAGAACTCCCGTAATGACACAAAAATCTCCAAAATATCGAACTCTTGTAAAGTGGGACACTATAACCATTAAGAAGATAAGAAACATAACCACACTGAGCAAACACAGTACTTGTCAACATAGACAAAGGATGGACAAGGAGTTATGTTTAAAACATTATAGCATAAACAAACACAATATTAAAGGCAAAAAGAAAAGTCTAAGAGAAGATAAACCAGATCAGATCTTTACATCGCACACGGTCACTCACTAAAGCTTAAAAAAAATGTTGTAACTGCTTAGTACCTTGGATCGGAGACGACATGGGAAAACTAGGTTGCTGCTATAAGAGATGCACATGGGTGGTGCTCACTCTGTGGTCTGTGTGAGAGCTAATGATTGTGGACACTATACTGTCAGTGAGCACCATCCTTCAGTTCAGACATTAAATTGAGGTCCTGACTCTTTGTGGTCACAAAAACTCCCAGGATGTCTTTTGAAAATAGTACAGGTGTGTCCCTGGCATCCTGGCCAACTTCTGCTGACCAAAACTTGAAGAGAAAAACAAAGCTAATCAACGCCATATTATTTAACTGACTTCATCACTCTGTCTCCTCTTCACCAGTAAGCTGGTGTGTGATGTGCGGTCTTGTGCAGAATGGCTACAGTCAACATCATGCAGTTGAATGCTGCACAGTAGTAGTAGTTGAGGAGATCGCCTTACCACAGGGCTATTCAATTAGTTTGTCATGGGGGCCAGTTCATGAAAAGCATCCCAAATGAGGGGCTGGAGAGATATGACTTGCTATATAAGTGATGACAACAGCAACTTATGCAACTTAAGACACCCACGTCTGCTTTTTCTACATTAAAACGTTTAAATGTTGTATTTTGAAACTATATAACATCAGTGCATTGTACAATGTGGCTTTTTTACAAACGAATTCAAATGTTGTATTCTGAAGCACAACAAAAGCAGTGCATTGCTTAAGTATGCTTCTTCTACATTTAGACACATTCATATGTTTTGAACTGCGTAACAATTAGAGATGCAACAATTATAGATTTTAGTTGTTCGATTATAGTCTGTAGAGAAATCATGGTTTCATGGTTAACACGATTATTATGCATTTATTTAATTTAAAACATTACTAGTTTAAAAGAAATTACAAGAAAATGCTTATATTTTACAGTGTTATTTATTGCTGCTCAGTAACTAAACACAGCACAAAATAATTATAAAAAACAAACAATCGTCCATTTCTCTCTTTGGACTTAAAAAACAAATGAAAAAGATTTTGATTTAAACATGACAATTTTACAATGAAAATAAACGACAGAACAAATAAAAATAGTATTTGTCTAATGTTAATTTAAGCTGTATATTAGCTAAGAATTTTAATGAACTGTTTTACTATCTGCGTTCATATATAATCATTAGAAAAATTTGTAATAATTTGTCTAACATGTCTTTTGTTTACATCGCACTGAAAACCACGCACAACTCTCACCACTACAGCATGAGATCGTTGCGTGTGCCTGGAGATCCGCTTGAGAGCCAAGTGCGCACCGCTCCCAATATGTGCACGTATTCATCGGAAATAATGAACTTGTGTCCGGAAAGACGCAATATGTGAACGGCCCGCTGCTATAGTTAATCCATTGTGCGCGCGTATTAGCCTCGGTGTAAGCTCTGAACTTTAAACTAGCACACAGTTGGCATAACTTTGTTTAGTTGTAGCAGTTTTATTTTGATTAATTAACAGTAATGAATTAAAGCGCGAAATTAATGGTATAACTGTTAACTATAATAATAGTTATATACAACTATTAACTATAATATTAATAGTGAAATCAGCTAATCAATGCATGCCTATTAACGATATCAGTGCATTGTACAAAAGGCCTTTTCTACAAACATATGCAAATGTTTTCGGCTGCCCGCATCACTTGCTTATGCGGAGTTTAGACTGCATGATTTTAAAACTAGTCATGTCACAGATGTTTTCACACTGCATGACAATCTGGGCAAGATTGGGCAAGATCATCTGCAAGATGGATCGGCGACAGAGGCTTTAACATTGCAAGACTTTACAACAGAAAAAAATCGCAGACAAATTCTTTCAAGCTACGTGTCACATCCAAAAACACACAGTGTATCTTTTGATATTAACTACATAACGAGAAAAAAAGTCTTTAATGGGGTACAAAATGTACATATTTGCTTTCCTGGGTTTGAAGGTAATCAGCAATTTCTCCTCAACTTTCTTTTTAGCTTTCTGAATGAAACAACAAACAGACACGGGTGCTCCTGTCAAACCTCCTCTAGTTTTTCCCCCATTTCTTGGGTCCAAATAAACCGAAAATGAGTGCTTTCAACTTCTCCCTCAACCTCCCACTGGCCTGCCGGTACACACACACTAGTAAATGCTGCTCTCTCATTGGCTGTAGGCAATCGCTGATGTTATGTCTGAACTCAGCATTAATGTCACTTGACTCACTGTCTGTGCAGCCTTTAACTGCAGCTTGTGCTGTATTGAACAGACGCACGTTACTTTATAACTATAGCGGAGTTTTTTTTCGGCTGAACAAAATTTATTTTTGATGTCTTGGACACTATTTGGAGGGCTGGAACAAATTGCCTTGGGGGCCTGGCTTGGCCTGCGGGCCGCCAATTGAATAGTCCTGCCCTACCATCTTTCCATCCAAAGATGCACATTAAACGTATGTGCAAAACTGGGATATCACATAAAACTTTTGTGAGTTGGCACCAACTATAACAAAGAAAAAACGAATTTTCTGTGACAGAAGAAGCCAGTGTGGACCTTTTTTCTTATGTAATGAATTACTTGTGCTTCAGAAGACAAAAACAAAATGCAACAAATGCGCAGTGCTCAAGAGAGTTCTGGAAGATAATAACATTGAACCACTTTGATGGCAATCTTTGGCTGTGAGTTTTTAGAATGACCAAGCAACATACAGATGTTGTGCAATGTAGTGGCTCAGTGGTTAGCACTGCCACCTCACAGCAAGAAAAAACAAATAAACAAACATTAATTGCATGAAATTGAACTGTGGGGGGAATGCATGGAGAACATGCAAACGTCACACAGAATGACATCCTGGCCTAGTTGGGACTCAAACCAGGGTCCTTCTTGCTCCATTTATATCAGTGCTCCAATAAACCCATCTGGTTTAAATTGCAACAGCTATTGTGCTACTTAGCCATTATCTTCTCAAAATTCTGGTTAGATGAAAATACTTTTCATGCTATAAATAATGTGGCTGAGATGAATCCCTTGAAGGCACTGATTCCCCAACTGCTCCTCTGGCGCCACAGCAATGGCTGCCCTCTTATATAGGTGTGTGCATATGTGTGTTCACTGTAGAGTGTGTGTTTGACTTTCAAATGAACCTATGGCAGTTTAAAGGTTGTACTAATGAATTTGCTACTAAGAAGTTGACTTGCATGACTCATATAGTATTGTACAGAATAATATGAGTTGGTGCTTGAGGAGTTTTATCGGGAACCCCGATACTGAGCTAAAACAGCCAATTTTGTATTGTATAAAGCAGAATAAAATTTCCATAACTAGTTGAACATTGAGATCTTTTAAAGCAGACATGACCAACCTTGTTCCTGGGCCCGGTTTTTCAAAAGTAATCCACTAGGATTTTGGATAAGGGATTGGATCAAATCTTGAAAATGGGTTTTTTTTAAAAGAAAAAACGGATTACCTAATCAGATTAGATCATGTAATCTAATCTTGGTTTTGATCCGGATCAAACCTTTACTTTGGGTTTTTCAGACCTTTTTTGTAGGATTTGGATCACTTTGATCCAAAAAACCTGGATTAAACTGATCCCATCAGAAGGGTGGATTTAGTGTGGATTTCATGACCAAAATGTAATGAAAACTTAAAAAACTATTAAATAATACTATTTTTGGATCATGCAGTATCTTACGAGATATATTATTTATTCATAAGGGTTTAATTTTATTTGTTCATCTGTCAGGCTATAGGGATTATTGGATTTAACATATTTAGGCTTTCAGTATAAGGCCTACAGCAAAACAGCTGTCAAAATTGACCAGAAACAATACATTTTATTCTGTCACTAATTTATATATATATATATATATATATATATATATATATATATATATATATATATATATATATATATTCATCACAATGGAAATTTTTTTGTTTTTAGAATATTTATTAGTGATGCATGCAATGATTACAGAATAACCAAGAAAATGCAAAGAATGGCGATCACTGATTTTTGAAATCACCTTCAACAATTGCAAAAAGAGACTGAAAGGGCAGAAGCACAGCTTCATCTGGCCGAGGAACAACTGACTCTGACCAAACTGGCCAGATTTGAGATTCACCTCCTAAAGACTTTGCTCAGACAAGCTACTCTCTCCACATCAGATGAGGAAGTCTGAAATTATTGTGGAGTTTTTAACATTAACATTTTTTTTTATTTATATCTATATTTGTACCTTATTATAAATACCTCAATGTACAGTGTTTGTGTTGTAGGTCTCAGATAAACGGACTGCTGGAACAGGATGGGGTGGGGTTTTTATTGTTTTTTTTTTAAATGTGTGTTTTCATTTCTAATAAAAATAAAGTTATATTGACCCCACACTGGCTATTCTACTTGTTGCTCTTTTCATAGGCATGTCTATCCATCTACATTGTGATTGAGCACTGGTAATCCAGATTTACTGATCCTGAAAAGTTCCTATTCGGATCAGATTGATCCAATCCAATGTTGCTTTGAAAAACTGGCTCAAAAAGTAAGCTGGATTACGTGATCACGGATCGCAAAAACAGGATTACTAAATCCGGATCAATTTTATCCGGATTAAACCTTTTGAAAAACCGGGCCCTGGAGATCGACCTTCCAGCAGATTTCAGTTGCAACCCATATCAAACACACCTGCCTGTAATTATCAAGTGCTCTTCAGGTCCTAATTAATTGGTTAAGGCGTGTTTGATCAGGGTTGTAGCTGAACTTAGCAGGAAGGTCGATCTCCAGGAACAGGGTCGAGCACCACTGTTTTAAAAAAAAGAGACAGATCTCTCAAAAATAAGTGTGTGTATATATTTATATATATGTATATATATATATGTATATATATATATATATATATGTGTGTGTGTGTGTGTGTGTGTGTGTGTGTGTGTGTGTGTGTGTGTGTGTCATGTCTTTGTTCATTTTAAATTGTGAAACATTACTAATATAAAAATCATTATGTTTACTAAGATTTTGCAGTAAAATGACTGGTATACCAACCTGAAGGTGGACATTTGCACATGGGTTTGGGCTACAAACTATATGAATTTATTACAGAGTATAAACTATCAAATAGATGGCAGAGAAGCAACACATTTTTCAGGTTTTGACTTTTCAAAATTGTACTAAAATCAATTAAATATAATGCATACAATCAACAGTGGTTAAATTCAAATCAGTAACCAAAGCCACTTCCACACAGCATTTTACATTTACATTATAGCAAAAAGGATACAAAAGTTGTGCAGAACCATCTGGAAACACAGTGAGAAATTTCCCTCCATGAGAGTAGTACTTCTCCAAGAAATCTGAATTGTACTGAGGAAAAAAGGAGAGCAGGTGTTTAGTTTAAAGGACATGCCAATAACATTCTGACCAAGGAAATGATTATGGATCGTTACCTGGGGATGTCTTAAACCAAACTCAACTGATCCCGGCGTAGAAGACTCCTTAGTACATTTCATGTAATCTTTAACTTCCCCCATATGTTTTTTGGGGGCACAGTCAGACAGCCTGAAATTGATGACTGTTTGAGGCACAGCTGAAAAAAGTATGCATTCATTTGGTCAATCAATCAATA